AAGATCATATTGATCGTTTGGCATGAGGGTTCTTCTCTCGTTTTCGAGGGTTCCATGTTGTCTCTGTTCCGACCATAATTGTTCTTAGCTCGGTCACTCAAGAATTCTCTGAGGTGACCATTCTTTAACAGTGTTGCCACTTTTTCCCGGAGGTGTTAGAAGTCCCCTATTCAGTTCTCGTTCGTCCCATGGTATTCACAGTATAAGTTGGGATCCCTCTGGCTGGAATCAGATCTCATAGGTCTTAAGAATCGTGCCTCTTTGATATTTCTCATGGTTGATACCAACTCCAATATACTGATGTTGAAGTTATACTCTAATAACTTGGGGTAAGAAGGATCCCACGACCCTGACATTTCTTTATCCTGCAATCTGTTGTTTTAGCCATGATCGGTCCTTCTGTCAACGACGAACTTAAATGTTGTCCGAAAGCCTCTAGCACGACCTTTGGTCCGCTTGTAGGGCAAAAACCGGCCCCTCGAAGTTTGTCTATCTATGTCGTAATCATCTTTTATTTTTTCTCTGTTCTTTCCTTTGGTCGACGATGGAAAACCACCATGATCATCTTTGATCCTTATTTTCGACTCGCACCGGTTGTGGACATCCGACCAAGTCGTTGCTTGAAACTCGAGCAGACATTTCTTCAACTTTCGTGAAGCGTCTGAACTCCTCGGATTCAATCCTCTAGTGAATGTTTCAGTCCCCCATTCATCCGGGACAATTGGTGTAACATTCTTTCCTTCTGGAACTAGGTAACGAACTCTCGTAATAATTTGGATTTTCCCTGCGCGATCTTGAATATATTAGCCTTTCGAGCTTGTACCTTTCTTTCACTGGCATGAGCCTTGATGAAAGAATTCGCGAGCATCTCAAAGGAGTTTATGGAATTCTCGGGTAATAATGAATACCATGTTAGGGCTTCCCTCGTGAGAGTATCTTAAAATTTCTTTAGCAATACAGATTCAATTTCGTGAGGATCTAGATCATTTCCTTTTACCGCTGTTGTGTAGGCGGTAATATGCTCCCGTGGGTTTGAAGTCCCGTCATACCTTGGCACTTTAGGCATTTTGAACCGCTTCAGAATTAGTTCCGGTGCCACACTTGGTTTATACGACAACTGAGTATACTTCTTCGAGTCCGGGCCTTTCAATACAGGCGGTGCTCGGAGGATTTGGTCCATGCGGGTGTTTACTTTCCTCATAAACCATAAAAGTTCATTCTTAAACGGGTTGTTCTCGTTGTTGAGATCGAATCCTCTTTCTCCAGCCCCGTCGAAGCCGACTTTGCCCCTAGGAGTATTTTTGTTGACTCTCTGTGTTATTTGGTTCGCAGGGACACCGAGAGGAATATGATATCGCCTATTTGCATTGTTCAAAGCCCCTGATAGAGTCTGCTTCAGCTCCTTCATAACCTTTTCCTGCCTCGTGAGATGCCTTAGAATGATCGCATGTTGCTCTTGCAAGACCCTTACCGCATCGACGACTTGCTACTCATTAGCATCATCGGGAGTTGTCTCCCGAACATGTCGAGGATATTGTCTATCATGCACCAGCGTGATGTCATTCCCTCGTTGTGGGTGTGACTGATTAAATCCTCGAAATGAGGTTGATCCCCTCGATTTTCAGGAATGTACGTGTTATTAACAGTGTTATCTGCCATTTTTATGATTTTCTCTAAGACAAACCAGCAAAGTATGTTAGTAAAAAAGACAAGGATCAATTTAATTGCACAACTGTCTAGGCCCCACAGTGGGCGCCAAACTGTTTACCCATAAAACAGTACAATTGAATTTGTTCATGATTTCTAGATAAGTGAATTAATTTGATCCTGAAATAAAAAAATATCTGAAGAAATATATAATACTTAGCCTTAAAATGTAAATGAAATAACAGAGTTGACGAATTTGGGAACAAGGTTTCCGGGCACAATAATGATGAGATCAAAAAGCGAGAAAGTAAAATTGTATTTAAGTTCTATGTAGAATGTAGTGTAAGGTAGCCTGAGAATTCGTGTCCTTTACAATGATAACTGAGGTCTCTATTTATAGCTGTGTCTAGGGAAGGAGGTCCTAGGATCATGCCCTTCTTTAATGTCAATTATAAGGGTTATTGATGAAGATGTGACAGTGGACAAAAATGCCAAATTTCTTGTAATGGGGCGTCACCCTTAATGCTGCAGAATATTCTTTATTAAATGCTACCGGACGCAAAGCATTTAGTACAATTTTATGATTGTTATTCCTTCTGGTGACAAGCAGAATAACTGTGTTTGGTGGCTATCCCCGTCTTTGGTTCCACATGTCCTTCCTTTAGATGACCATGTGTCATATTGTATTTTACCCTATACAATACTAGTAGAAGAATACTTATACTCGATGGAATAAAGTAGGGATGTCTAATGGTACAGTATTACCGGTACCAAACCATACCACTCCGATGGTTGGGCAGGGATGGGGGATTTGGAGTGGAGGGTAAGGGTAATAGTAGGGTACCCGATTTAGTACCCTTAGTATCGGTACCGGAAGTAACCTTAAGATACTGTACCGGTACTGCACCCGTATCGGTACCAAACAATATTTTTGAAACAATTTACTTTTTAGAAATAATTTACTTTAATTTAGAAATATAACTGACTCAAAGACCAACTCTTTCTACTTGTTTAGATAGAATTCAAAAAAATGTTAAAATAATGTATGACTATTACCAAAGATAAATGAACTGTGTTGCACTAACTAGTGGTGCCTCTACTTCTTCATCATTTCAACCTCTTAAAAAAACTGCTACAAATATACCTTTTGGTGCTATTTGGAAAATAGACCTTATAACGTGTATTAGAAATCTAATGTTTATATTGAATAAAATAAATTAAAAGGCCTTGAATTATTTTCATCCATTAAAGCTTGTTTGTACATATTTTAGTGAATTAGACATATTTTTATATTTTTTAAATATTAATTTACGCATATTTTAACCGCTTTTTGGTGCTATTTTATGGTGAATATACCTAACTTATATTAATTATTAATTTTTATACTAACTGAGTGGTCTCTGGTAGTTTACGACAATCAGATACAAAAATATAACAAAAATATACTTCGGTTTAAGGAATAAAGTGTGCAAGCTTCGCTTGCAATTTACCATGACAATTGGAGAGTTAACAACCTTAGCAGTTAAGTCTCAAGAAAGCCTCCGCCTTAGCATCCGCACCTGTATGCATCAGAGTTGAAGGAACAACCACCCCAACATCCGCTGCTGGCAAGTTCAAACTGAAGCGGACGCGAAGTATCCAGCTTAGTATTATCCCTGAAGCCGACTTGGAAAAGAAATGAAAAAGGAAAACTTTGGCCCGCAACTTTTGTACGCAATATATAAGTTATAAATGCATCTTTTAAGTCATCTAACACACTTGGAAGCAGATAAAAAGCCATCACAGAGTTTGGAGACCGTAGAATTCGTCTTGACTTCTTATTTTTTTCCTTTTTTTATTGATTTTTATGTATTCTTGGGAATTATTTTAGATTGCTACCATGACTATGCGTGGTTAAACTCGTTTATTCAGGGTTATGGTTTTATATGAATGTTGATATTCGAATATTGATATTACGATTAAATTTATCATATTGGGCTGTTTATTCATAGCATGAGCCTAATTATTTTACTGCATAACTAACGGTGAAATACTATATATGAATCTTGAGTTGAACTTGAAAGAGCTAATTCTTGATTGCAAAAGGATTGAACAGAGCGTGATCTTGAACCTAATCATTGGGGAATTGATTTGTGAATACGAATAGAAATATACCCTATTTTCCGTGCTTAACCAATTGTGTAAGAGATTATCAATGCGTTCTTTTTATCTTTAATCTCATAGGAACATAGGATTTACAATGAATTGAATAGGCGAGTAGAAGTTGTCAAATTTCTACGAGTATTATTGTCCTTGCAGGCTGATAATCCAGATAAATTAATAAATCGAGTTGGTTGAAGAATTCAACAGGACTGTTATCCAACCATGACCATGGAATATCAGTTCTCATTGAATTAAAATTTTCATACTAAGTATGCTAGTTAATTAATTCTTCTTTTAATCGCAACTCTCGTACTAGAATTAATAAAACAAAAATCACTTTGAAATTGTTCTTGACTCGAAATTAGAATTTGCTTGATTTAATTGATAATTGATCACAAGTCCTCGTGGAAACGATACTCTACTCGCTCTTTAATACTTGATTGACCGCATATACTTGCGTGTGCGATTTAGGGCAACAAGTTTTTAGTGCTTATAAAAATTTCTCCCTTTTTTAAAGCAACCACTAAGCTACGAAAGAGTACCCCAACTAATAGCCTGTTTGGCCATGCTTCTTTTTGGCCAAAAGTGTTTTTTTTTTGCCAAAATCGCTTTTGGCCAAAAATTGAGGTGTTTGGCCAAGCTTTTGGAAGGAAAAAAAGTGCTTTTGAGGAGAAGCAGAAGCAGAAAAAGTAGCTTCTCTCCAAAAATACTTTTTTGAGAAGCATTTTTGAGAAAAATACATTTAGAAGCAGTTTTTAAAAGTTTGGCCAAACACAAATTGCTGCTTAGAAGTGCTTTTCAAACTAATTAGCCAAACACAAATTGCTTCTCACCAAAAGTACTTTTGAGAAAAGCACTTTTAAAAAAAACACTTTTCAAAATAATCTAATTTTTGCAACTTGACCAAACGGGCTATAAGTTAAAATGACAAAGAAAATTACCAAGACAATTTTCCTACCCACACTTAAAATTGTGCATCATCTTAATGCACACCATAAATAACAAAACAAGAGGTAAAAGAGACTTTCTATAAACAGTCAAAAACCAAAGTAATAATAGCTCACGAAATACTCACACTTCTCCTAAGCCTAGTCTTGTGTATGGACACCCCACAATTATTTCCGGTCATTTGCTCGCTTACTAAAATTAGTCGAACAAAATAAGCAGGGACCATCCGATGAGAAATTGAGAAAACATATAGTACATATTTGGACCATTAAGCGGGTCACGTAAAAAAGTAGAATGAACGTGCCTAAGAATTAGTATTCATAAAATCTTTGAACAGGTGTCCCTCTCCTCCTTGTAGCGGTGCTCCACTCCGCTCCTCTTTCTGCATTTCTTCCCAAACCCATCGTATCTCCTCTTCTCTGTACACACACAGACACACACTGAGAGACCTAGAATAGACAGTAATGGGCGCATACAGAGCGGACGACGATTACGATTATTTATTCAAGGTTGTATTGATCGGCGATTCCGGCGTCGGTAAATCCAACCTCCTCTCCAGATTCACTCGCAACGAGTTCAGTCTCGAGTCAAAGTCAACGATCGGCGTTGAATTCGCCACTCGTAGCATTCGTGTAGATGATAAAGTCGTCAAGGCTCAGATTTGGGATACCGCCGGTCAAGAACGGTATCTCCATTTTTCATTTACTCAATTTCCTTTTTTACTGTATTCATTGAACTGTAAATATTTGAGATCTGAAATTCTGATACAAATTGCTTTGCTCAATTGACGTTATATAACTTGTTAGGATTTCGTTTTTGTGGCAAAATCAGATCTGATACAAACATTATTAAATGATAGATGGTGTTTGTATCAGAAAATATTGACATTTTTTATTTCAAATTTATCATTAGAGAAAGCTCAGATTTTGCAACAAAAATTCTTTTATTGCCTTTGGTTGAAGAGAAAAATTGTCAATTTTTGCTGAAACAAATGCCACCTAAATACCCATACCTATGTTGGTGGGAGCTAACAGGTACTCGGTGGAATAGTTGAGTGTGTGCAAGCTGGCCCGGACACCACATTCATAGAAAATTGCCACCTGAATACTTTACCTAGTTGTATTTTTTTTTCCAGTTCTTCTGGTTATATAATTGTCGTTTCTATTTGTTATTATTATTCTTGAACTACACATTGTGATATTTTTATCTTTCAATTTCACTTCTTAATTAAAGGTTTTTGCTTTCTTAAAGCCCGAATTTTTTTTTTCACTCTTTGCGTTTGATAACACTTTGAACAGTACAACCATGAGATTTTGAGAGTAAGAAGTGCAAAACTGCTCTGTGTGTGAATAATTTTTGGAGATTTCTTGTCTCACAGTGGTGGAAAATGGAACCAGGAATTTAAACAAGAGGGATTCAAAAATTGTCATACTTGGGATTTGAACCTATGACCTAAAGTCATATTTTGAACCCCTTTTACCACTTTCTAGAACTTTTCCTTATGACAAGGGGATTCAACAGCTTATATATAACCAAAATAACTAGTTTTAGTGCTATTCTTTAAGTACATAATTGTTCAGCGAAGGAGGCTCAATTGAACCCCCTTCCTTCAAGCTAGCTCCGCCCCTGAAATCTCAGTAAAGCCACTGCCTTTTTTCTTCTAGCACCAGCAGGCTTTTCGTAATTCGAGGGCAAGAGAATTGGACAGATTGCTCTCAGAAAGCCAATGACTTTTTTTCCTTATTTCTCGTCCAGAACAGGCTAGCCTCCAATTGTTACTGAGACCACTTCACAAGTGAGCTGCATGCCTAGGCTAGAAAAGGAATTCAAGCTCTTTTCTGGCTCTCCTTGAATCTCCATTTTACTGTATTCCACTGCCTAATCATATAGTTTGATGGATTTCATGTGGTTTTCCTCAAACTAAAGAGCCAGGTGATCAGCTAGGATGGTAAGGCTACAACAGTGACCTTTTGGGTTTATAGATTACTGCCCACCCTACTCCAAGGGGATCAGTCTTCAAAATTAAGTTAGTCTTCACTTTTTTTTAATCATGGATCTAAGATGAAATGTTCTTTCTTGATTTTGTTCATTAGGCTAACATTGATCTCTGAAATGATTTCGGCTGTTATTTTTTCGTTCTTTTTGAAGTCTGAAATGAGATGTGGTCATGTTCTTGTTATAAATAAGTTTGATGTACTAGGGGCCTCTTTTCATTCCTTATTTTCTCCTATCTATTGTTGTAGTAGGTTTCCAGCCTTGATCGACCCATGTTTCTATAGCTTTTACAGTCTCAGGTCCTATAAATATTTTGTGTTCATCTTGTTTTTCCTGGTACAATTTCCATGTTATTTTATATCTTGCTTTCCAATATGGAAATGTTTTGATTCGACGATAATAATTTTTTGTGTTCATCTTGTTTTTCCTGGTACAATTTCCATGTTATTTTATATCTTGCTTTCCAATATGGAAATGTTTTGATTCGACGATAATAATTTTTTGTGTTCATCTTGTTTTTCCTGGTACAATTTCCATGTTATTTTATATCTTGCTTTCCAATATGGAAATGTTTTGAGTCGATGATAATAATTTCTCAATTTGCGCTCTTTGTTTAAGATATCGTGCAATCACAAGTGCCTACTATCGAGGAGCTGTCGGTGCGTTGCTTGTCTATGATGTCACTCGTCATGTAACCTTTGAGAATGTAGAGAGATGGTTAAAAGAGCTCCGAGACCACACCGACTCTAGCATTGTCATAATGCTGGTGGGTAATAAGGCAGATTTGCGTCATCTGCGGGCTGTTTCAACTGAGGATGCCAAGGGGTTTGCTGAGAAGGAAAGTACGTTTTTCATGGAAACATCTGCATTGGAGTCCATGAACGTGGACAATGCCTTCACAGAAGTGCTCACTCAAATACACCGCGTTGTTAGCAGGAAAGCTCTTGAAGTAGGAGATGACCCTGCAGCATTGCCGAAGGGGCAGACTATTAATGTTGGAGGGAAGGATGATGTTTCTGAAGTAAAGAAAGCCGGGTGCTGTTCTTCTTAGAACAAAGAGTAATACAAATGGTTGAAGAGGTTCTCTTTGTTTTGAGCGCAAAAATTGACATGGCAGTTGTACTTCTCCCTCTATATACTAGGAAGTAACCACATGGATTGCTTATCAATGAGAGCTTTATAACTGGACCACTAGGCATTAATGAATTGAGTGCAGCCCCAAGATTGATTATCCAAGTGACTTCATAGCATTCTTTATCCTTGTTTCTATATTTTGCTTCCCTTGGTCAATGATTATAGTATTAGCTTCTTGTGGACCTCCAATATAGGGTATATTTGTTTGGAAAAGATTTGAACTGATACATGTATGAACACATTTTATGCTGCCTTGTACTTGATTGTTTGATTAGTTATGGACTGAGGAATATTTTCAATTTCTTATGTTACAGAAGATATTAGTGCTCTCTTTCTCTATCTGTGTTTGTGCTAATTTTTATACGTGATTTTGATTAATTGTTGACTGATTGTCTTATTACTGCCCTTCTTTTGGAACAATATTTTGGTTTAGATTCAGTAATATTTACTGTGATGTGAGGAGTATGCTGAGGACGCTTTTTCGGTCTTATACTTTTGGTAGATCTTAAAAGTTTGCCTTCGATGTAGGGAACTGATTAGCTCTTTAATTTGGGGTTGCTCAAGAAAATCATAAATACCAGTTTGAACCATGAAATTGTGTTATACACAGCACTCCATTTGTGTTGTAAGCAGATGGTGCCAAAAAGTAGCAACGAACAGGGTGCAAACAACTTTTTTATGGTACTAAGCTTTTTTATTAATCACCAGGAGAATTACAAAACTTCAGCTAGACCCCAACCCGGTCTGCTGTGTTCTCTAATGAAGCTAAAAAACAAACAAAACCTGCTAATACTTGCCTTAATGGAATTAAGAAGCCCACCTCCTAGGGAGGGTTTCTTCTTAGTCCCATGTCTAAACATACTATGAGTAATACAAAAATAATACTAATAACAATAATAATACTGATGCAAAACTAGAGCTATCACTGAATGGGCAAAACTGGATCGCTACAAACCGGACATGCATTGTTCCTCGTCAATAGCCACTTTTTGGCGCAATCTGCATGAAAGTCATGGCCACAGTGAAGTGTGCCGATCATATCTTCATCTTCATATTCATATGCACAGATGAAACAAGCATCTTTTTCCTCATCATCACACATTGGACCATAATATGTTCTCGTTTCTAAATACTCAGATATGTCAACCCCAAACTCCTCTTTTTCTATTTCTTTAACAAGATTATCATATATGTCAACCCCAACTTCCTCTTCTTCAATTTCATCATCAAGACTATCATCAGATTGTGGCACCGGAAACGCATAATGAGTGACGCTATGATACTCAGATATGTCAACCCCAACTTCCTCTTCTTCTATTTCTTTAACAAGATTATCATATATGTCAACCCCAAACTCCTCTTTCTCCTCTTCTTCAATTTCATCATCAAGATAATCATCAGACTGTGGCGCCGAAAACACATAATGATTAACACTATACTGATCAGATATGTCAACCCCAAACTCTTCTTTTTCTATCTCTGCATCAAGTTTATCAAGAATACTATGAGGAACTGGTGACGGCACCCACGAACAATGAGGCATGATACTATAATTGACACTCACTCGAGCTGTTGTAGCCATATGTCTGGGCACTTGATCTCTTGTTTGCAACGGAGTAGCAGTATGAGACATGTTGTAGAATGAAAGTTGTTGGGATTATAGGGTTTAATGTTTACAGAGTTAAATATATAGGCCGAATTAATACCCAATTTGATTGGGAATAGGACTAATACCGCGTTTCCTTTGGAGTCTTGCGTATCAAGATTCTTTCCCTATTCTTTTATTGTTCCTTTTCTATTTCTTCTTTTTTATTCTAGACTACATAATTAGTCCCCTAAAATTATTCCTATTAAATATAAAATATGTAATTTAAATAATTATTATTTCTTATAGAGATAAGTAAAAAAATTAAATCATTTGTTATCAGCTTGTTACCAATCATTAATCACATAATTCATACTTTATAGTACTTTTTAGGGATGTAGTTGAGGTAACCATAGATGAAAGTGGTAAAATAGTAGTCCACTGAAACTTAACCAATTTTCTCAACTTTGATTTTGTATTTTTTTCAAGGTCTTAGTAGATTTGCTTCAAGCTAATTAGATCGTGACACTTCCCAGATTGGAACTAAAAGTGCTAGAAGAATCTGTGCAAGTTACAAAATTAAATTACTCGATTTAATATACATAGAGATAAGAAATTAATTTTTGTGTATCCATATCAAATATAGATTAATGTAAATAGTTGCCTCGGTTAAAATCTTATTAAGATCAACAATGTCTCGAGAAAAAATGAATTACATGAGTGGGGACTACATTATCAGTTAAAAAAGAAATTAATTGTAGAAATGCATCTAAAAAGCTTGAATAATAAACTCCAAATAAAAATACGTATGTGTCTACTCTTACAAATACACGAAATTCAAACATAAATTGTTGATTTACCCTTTTAAACTTTGTAAGTGGATTCCATATTGAGTAAAATTACAATTATAATTAATCATAAATATATTATTATTTCTTGTATTTATTATTTGGCCTTATTATTTAATACGAATTATCTTCTTATAAGATGACTAGTTTTAAGGTACGTGCGTTGCGCGTATGCTTTAGCGCTAATAAGTAAATTGTTTCTAAAAGCCGTATAAATATTATTTTAAATTACATTTGAGTTATAAATTGAAAGTGTAATTAAATAAATAGAATTAAAACTTTTGGTCAGATGGAGCATGAAAGAGGTTGCGTCCTTTCTTATAACTTTTAAATGATGATAAACTTGCAACTCAAGAAAAGTAAGAAACTATTTTTGACAATTTATAATCTAAGGATAGACTAATGTTGGATCAATATTTCACCCAAACTAACTAAAATATAAAGACTTAAAATTAAATAGTTATATTAAATTAAGAAAGAACCAGAATTTCTCATACCCTACAGCTTTACAAATAATAAAGACTAACATAATTAGGAAAAATATGTAATTAGGAAACATTTACTCATATAATTAATTTTTTTATTTGAATTGTGTATCTAATCAAGACTCATTCTTTATTGCAGTTAAACAATATATTTGTATCTGTCTAAACGGATCTTTTGAATTTCAAATTTTATCGTACATTATTATTTGTACTATACCAAAATTTTGAAGTTAGCCAATGCCAATCACTGCAGAAGCTAACCTCATAGTTCAAATTCTTCTATTTCAACTCAAACTTAATGTTACTTTTTTTTTTATCATAAAATATTTAAAAAATTAAATGGTGATTTTTTTCACTTTGAAATATTCTAAAATAAATGACAAACTCAAAATCTATCCTAGTTTATATCTTCCGATGAAGACTTAAAGTGTTTAAATTTAGTTGGGATAACTCAAAGTTCAGGATCTCTTATTTTAATGCAAATTCAGTACTACACTACTTGTTATTATTATGAGTTTATTCATATTATTCGGTTAGAGTACGTGAAAAAATTAGCATCAACATAAAAAATTAAAAATGTATTAACATGGACCATGGTCAAAATTTCATACCATAAAAGTGATAAGTTTGTAGTAAGATTCAAAGTCGTAAAATCTTTAATAAATATTTAATTCATTTGAATTTTAAAATAACTGTACTATACAACTCAAACTTTTAAAAATTTGTTAGAATGGTGAATTTACGTTGAAGTTTAGCTTTGTTTTGAAAGGTGAATACAATATTTACCTAATAAAATTTTCTTATTAAATAATTAAAACATAAGATAGGAAATAGGACTCCTAAACCTAAAAAGAAGGAAAAATAGTCCTAAATATTAATATAAAAATAATTAAACATTTATTTATACAATAATCATCAGTATATCTTTATGAAAAATTTATAAATTAATAAAACTGATATATATGCTTACTAAAACTGAAGTCATAACAGACGAAGCTTGTTAAACATACTTAGCTTTAATAGTTTTATAAATATCTCTTACATAGATTGTTATGTTTGATATTTTTTTTTTCTAAGAATTCAAACTCGTGTGTGACCAAAAATTCCGTTGCATTCTAATTTCTAATTAACTATACGTACAATTTTCAAACAATTTCAATACAATTTTATTTTATTTTGATTTCCTAAATATTAGGAATTTGTACATAGTACAAATAAGGAATAAAATAAGGAAAGATTCAGCTCATTTTAAAATCCTAAATATTAGGAATATAATTAAATTACAATCTTGTCCGATGTAATTTAGTTTTAAAAGGGTAAAAAAGGCGAACCACATTTCTAAGGGCCTTCGTGCTTTTAATATAGTATACTAGTCTTAGGGTACGCGCTTTGCGCGTGTGCCTATATCAATAAATATATAATTTTAAAAATTACGTAAGTATTATAAATAATATATTTGAGTTATTGAATAAATATTAAAAAATATAAGTTCCTAATGTTAATATCACTAAGCTAACCCAATAAAACAAATAAATCATACTTCATATAAGTCTTTATATGCTTTATTATGATTTATGAGGAGTGAAATATATTATTAAATTAATTGTTATCTTTGTTATCGAAGACTATAAACAAATAACATAAAAAACACTTTTACCATAATTATTCAAAGATAATAAAATAAAATGAAAATCTGAATCTTTTGATCTTTTAGAAATTTTTGAGTGATGAGGTAGAACTATAGTACCTAGAAGATATTGATAAATAACAATTTGAAGTCTTAAATGACTAATATTGAATTATAAAAATAATATAATACTATATTAAAAAATATAGGGAGCTATCATTCATTAGAATGAATATAAAAAAAATAACGGCAACGTCTTTTGAATACCTTTTGGTTATGTTACATCCTTAATGATTTAACTTAGCATTTTTAGCTATTTAACTTTTAATACTATATTTAAATAGATTTTCTCTAAATTTTTTTCGTGGCTGTAGACATGTAATTTTTGACCCTCCCCGAGATTTTACTCTTTTTAGCTTTTAGATATTTAGTTTAGGCCTAATATTGTTATTTTACCCAGTTTTAACTATTTTACTTTATTTTAAGAACGAAAATTGAAAATTACAAAAATAGTTCCATATTTCTCTACTTAATTCACGTATTAGATATTTTTAGGAGGATATGTTACTTTGAACCTATTTTTATTCTAATATAATCCTTGAAAATACCAAAAATAGTTTCAACTTTAATTTTAATTTTATTCGAATGTTAATAGTTTATTAAAATTAATTAGTAAGAGTAATTTTATATCTTTTATAAGTATTCATATTTTCTTAAAAACAAATTGAGTTTTTAGCTTTCTTAGCCTAATTTTTGTAGGAAACTAGAGCTCAATTTTGAAGCCCAAATTTCGTTAGCCCATACCCCATTTAGCATAATATACAAAAATAAAATAAAATAAAAAAACCTAGACTTAGAGGAAGAGGAATGAGCCGTTATTTGACTCTTGATTCACTAACCCTAAGACCCTTCTCCTTGAAGACACAAGCGAACACCAACAGCCCTTCCAACGACCCCTCTGATTTTAGAGCAGCCATCTTCATCTGGAGAGAAGATCAAAAGCCACGCACAAAAAAAACACTAAAAAACGGAACACACACACTTCGCCGCCGCTGCCATCTCCGGCGAGCCCTCAATCGCCGCCGCATCTTCCCCATCTCTGACCAAACCAGCTCGCCGGAACCAGCCAGCCCCGTTGCCGATCTAACCTGAAAAGAAAAAACGAAAAACAGAGCAGAGAAATTAAAAAGGAATGAAGGTTTTCTGATTTTGAGCTTTCCTTCCAATTTGGTGTTCATTAACAGAAAAGAATCCCAAAAAGAATTACAGTTCCTTTAGTTTGTTCTTCCAATTTCTAAACAGAAAACACAAAAAAAAAATAGAAAATAACGCCCGTCGCTGTCCATCAAAAGAAACGTTCTGCCTCTTCATTTTAATTCTTAATTTTGCTTCAAAACTGGAGTCAAGTTATGGTTACTGAAATCGTCGCTGTCCGGAATGGTTTCGAGTGCGATTCAGAGTCGACGTTCGAGGTTCCGTCATGGTCGTGTCGTTCTTGTTCCAATTCGTGACTCTTGATTCACTTTGCTGCTATACGTTGCGATTGGATTCAATAGATTCGGGGCGTTGTATTCGCATCTTCCCAATTAATCGAAAAGTTTCGCGCGTTAAGGTCCCTCTAAACTTATCTCGTTTATTTGTTTGATATCTCTGTCTGCATATATTTTTACATGACGTTGGCTCGTTGCCTACTATGCTTGTCTGTTTAAATGTCAGCAAGAATTGTTGGCTCGTTGTTTTCTGTTTCGATCTAAGTTTTGATTCAACTTTACGTGTTCGTTAACCATATTCTTGTTTTCCTTGATCTTTGTTTATTTGGAAAAGAGCCTTATAAGTTAACTTTCTGTTTAATAAAAGATGGCCAAAAGATGCATATTAATTGATAAGTTAACGTTTTGTTACATGAAAAGAATAAGGGTAGGGAAGATATGAGAAAAAGTTCGGTTGAGGATTTCCATCTTTAAGTTGGCCTCATTTAGTAGGAAAACATGCTTTAGGAATTGGACTTGGCCAAATATATGGAAAATTGTTAGAAAGAAATGAGCATGAATTGAAATCTCTGTTAATTAATTTTTCTTTTATTTAGTT